CTATGTGGGAGGCTGAGGCAAGAAGATTGCTTGAGCCCAACAGTTTGAGGTTGCTATGAACTATGATACCAAAGCACTCTACCCAAGGCAACAGAGTGAGACTCTGTCTTAAAGAAAGAAAAAAAAAAGAGTGACCTCTTTAGGCATCCAAGCAGATAAAATATCATCTACGCAGAGAAAAGTTGAGGCTGGCCTTAGATTTCTTCCCAGAAGAAAAGGAGTGAAATAGTACATTATGTGGGAAAGACAGTGAGACCCAAGAATATTATACCCTGTCAAGTTATGGTTCCAGTGCAGAAGCAACAGACACTCATTATTAAATATCCGTAACCCTTCTTGGAAAAACATTTATCAATGAAATTCAGTTCATTCTGAGATGAATTGAAATAGAGAAGTTGCAAATGGAAAAGCCTTGGTAAAAAGACCAAGCTTTGTGTTCATTTAAATTTAGAATGTATACCCAGTAACTATAGAATTACAATCAAGGAGCAGAATATGAGTTATACAAACCTGGACAATGTAACAATAATAAGTAACAAAGTTAGGAGATAGGGTTGGGGAGATGGAAAGGATCATGAGAGCAAATTTTTCAAAGCAACACACACACCCACACACTTATATATAATTGAAATGTATAATTTAAGAAAATGACTCTAACCTCTTAATTTTTTTCACAATTTTTGTTTAACCTCAGAGGTATCTTTTAGGAAGTAATATTACTTGTGGTCAAGAAACATTCTCTGAAGTTCAATTCTTCCTTCAGTTTCACTTCAACTTCTTTTTTTTTGTTTTAAATTCAAGTAAAATTAAATTTAATACTTTTTAGAAATTGCATCTGTGGTTAGAGTGCCGCCTGGAACCTGGGTAGGTTTGAACCTGGCCAGGGCCTGCTGAGCAATAAATAAATAAAATTGCACCTGTAGTATGGTTCAAATTTTTATAAAATATCTCTATTATGTTTTCTTCTGTCAGCAGATATGCATAGAAAGCCTTCTAGAATGATGTAAATGGAACATTTGTGATGGTCATTCCCAGATGGTGTGAGTGGAACAATTTAAACTTTTCTGTATCGTTGGAATTAAAGTATTTGTGTGTGTGTGTGTGTGTGTGTGTGTGTATGTGATATTTCTAAAACTATGCAATTTTTCTAAAAATGGGGGTGTGAGCTGGCTACTGTAGCCCAGTGGTTAGTGTGCCAGCCCTGCACACCAGGGGCAGAGAGTTCAAGCCTTGCCTGGGCCTGATAAACAAACAAACAAAATAAATAAAAATAAAAAGGGAGTGTTGGTGATATAGTAGTTAGCATAGCTGCCTTCCAATTTTTCTAAGAAAGGGGTGGCTAGGCTAAAAAATCATCTCAAGGGTGGCAAATGCTGATTGTTTTCTTGCTTGTCATTTTGTCTATTTTACTTTTTGAATAAATAAACACATACAAATTTTAAAGTATTGGAAAAACTTTTTTTCAGACATCTCACTGAAACAGAATAGTCTAGCAACAGACTATTGCAGCATCTGTAGGATGGCTTATGTTTTATGGCAGAGATGGTCAGTTCCTCCCAACTTCTGCTCTCCTCCTCTAACATTTTATGGCATATTTATTTATTTTTTTTTGAGACAGAGCCTCAAGCTGTCCCCCTGGGTAGAGTGCCGTGGCATTACAGCTCACAGCAACCTCCAACTCCTGGGCTCAAGCGAGTCTCTTGCCTCCGCCTCCCAAGTAGCTGGGACCACAGGCGCCCGCCACAACGCCCGGCTATTTTTTGGTTGCAGCCGTCATTGTTGTTTGGCGGGTCCGGGCTGGGGATTCGAACCCACCACCTTAGGTGTACGTGGCTGGCGCCTTAGCCCGGTGAGCTATGGGCGCCGAGCCTTATGGCATATTTAGCTGTACCCATAATGACCAAAATAAAGACCCCAGTTCAGAGCTTTGGCCAACAGGATGTAAGTGGAAGTTTCATATGGCCGCTTCTGGAATCATTTGAAAGTTTGCTCATTTGCTCTGTATTAGCATCATTTCCTCTTGCTGCCTGGAATGCAAATTTCACCATATTGAACCAAGAGGATGAGACCATTCAAGGACAAAGAACAGGAGAGAGGGTGTGTGCAGAGAGTGCCCTATGCCCTATGTGGGCAAGATAAGAGGAAGAAACTTTTATCTTACTGAAGCAGCTGACCCTAATCCTAACTGATACATGACCTCCACACACTACGCACACACAGAGAAATTTAGTCTATAATATTATTTACTTGGTACATCAGTGGAGGAAGACGAAACAACTGATTCAGCCCACACATAAATCACCTAAATGTGACAAAAAAAAATTTTTTTTTTTAGAGACAGAGTCTTACTTTGTTGCCCTCAGTAGGTGCTGTTGCATCACAGCTCACAGCAACCTCCAGCTCTTGGGCCTAGGTGATTCTCCAGCCTCAGCCTCCCGAGTAGCTGGGATTACAGGTGCCTGCCACAACGCCCAGCTATCTTTTTGTTGCAGTTTGGCTGGGTTGGGTTTGAACCCGCCACCCTCGGTATATGGGGCCAGCGCCCTACTCACTGAGCCACAGGTGCCCCCAACAACAAAAAAATTTTTTTAAAGTTTTTGTGAACTTGGGAAGAGTCTTTGTTTTTAGAAGCAAAGGTAAAAAGCCATAAAGAAAATAACCAGGACGGTGCCTGTGGCTCAAAGGAGTAGGGCTCCGGCCCCATATGCCAGAGGTGGTGGGTTCAAACCCAGCCCTGGCCAAAAACTGCAAAATATTAATAATAATAATAGCCAGTAAACTCGATAATATCAAAAATTTAAACTTTTTTATGACAAAAGGAACTATAAACTAAAGGACAAGCAAGAGAACTAGCTGGAGGGCAGCACTCCAGTTTCCCAGAGTGAGGTCTATCATGTTCTAATTCATTGTGGGGTGGGGGTGGCCAGGCAACAGCATTGGCAGATAGCTGCACATTCTGCATTCTCTTCAGACAGGGATAGGACATATAGCTTGTCAAAAGATTTCAAGGCTTCTACAGAAACCTTTTCCCTAGCTGGGGTAGTGGCTCATGCCTGTAATCCTCAAACTCTGGGAGCCTGAGGCCAGTGGATTGCTTGAGTGCCTAGGTTGGATACCAGCCTGAGCAGGAGGGAGACCCTGTCTCTACTAAAAATACAAAAAAACTGAGGCAAGAGGATTGCTTGAGCCCAGGAGTTGGAGGTTGCTGTGAGCTATGATGACGCCATAGCACTCTACCCAGGGTGACAGCTTGAGACTCTGTCTCAGAAGAAAAGAAGGAAGGAATAATTTTCTGTATGGAACTCAGTATTCCTCACAGTTATCTGGCTGTGGAACCAATCTTTTCTTATTGTAACATCTATAAACACCCCCTGGGTGTACATGCAACACTCAGAAGTGCTTCCATAAGAGATAATGCTTTGCCATGTGAGAAATGATTGCTATATACACCTTTTGGGTCTTCACAGGTATTTCTCACTACCTCATAAATTCTGACCAGCAGCAGCGTAAAAAGACAAAGAAATCTGGGCTTTGGGAAACAGGAGTAAATTCTCCTAGCAGAGTGTACATATGGCAACAGGAGGAAGTCAGCTATAATCTGGGCTTTCCATTCTCATAACCACTGCCCAGGACTGCTAGAAGTAGATGTTTTTGAAATATGCTTATGGATAAAAGACCATTTTAAAGAAAATTTAGGGCAAATTCCAGAGAGTTGTGATGGAGAGATGGCAGTTAGGAGTGATTTCTTATAGGTTATAGAAAAAGGAAATGGCAAATATGGTCTAGGACGATCAATTTAACACTGACCCCACACTTTGGGCTCTGACATTAAGGCCCTTAATGTAGTCTAGAGAGGGAGATTTTATTCAACACTATATTTCAAGTATAGTTTAAGGCCATTTACTTGTTTTACCTCATTTGGTCCTGTGAGATATGTAGGTACCATATATCTCATTTTTAGGATGAGAGAAGGGAGGAATAGTTAAGTTACCTTTGCCTAAGGTTAAAAAGCTAGGATTCCAACCAGGAAGGCTTTGCGGTAGATTCAGTTCCTCTAACCAGGGTTCTGTCCTATTTCTTGTAATAACAACATGGGAAGCAGCATGATACGGAGAGGAACACAGTGAAAACGTTCTCAGCAAGGTCCTGCAGGATGTCAGTTCACTGGGTGACAAGCTACATTTTGCCTGGGAAAGTAAGGAGGGGAAAGAAGCTTCAGGGTGAGAAGGTCAAAAGCGTCTTCGTTTAGGGAGAGGGCTCCTCTTAAGCGAGGTGTGTCGAGTCCTAACGCGGTCTTCAGGAACCTGGAGCAGCCGGTTCCTGAGTAGGAGGGAGAGGCCAGACTGTTTCTAGGGAAGATACTGGGGTGGGGTGTACGTGTGGAGGGTGGACCAACCAGGGATGAGGCCAATGGACGGAATGGAGCAAACCTTGCCATATTCCCAGTGTGATGCCTTCACCATCGACCTTGGCTTTTCATTTGCACCAACCCTAGACTGAACCGCGCATCCTGTTCGTTGGTTGCGCAAGAAACCGAAGGCTGGTCCCTTGCCCGGGAAGGCCGCCTGGCCGGACGCGCGGGTCCCGCCCGGGTTCCCGCCCTGGCTCCGGCCGGAGCATCAGGTGGGGCCCAAGGCCCGGGTTGACGAGGCTGAGGCGGCCTCTCCCGGACCCGGCTGCCCGCCCGCAGCTCGTCCACTCTGGCGGGTGGTCCCAGAACATTTGCAGGCTCCAGCGGTGGAGGCAGCCGGGTGGAAGCGTCCCCCAAGTCACTCACAGAGTCCCGTTTCTCCCCAGCGCACAAGCTTCCTAGCGCGGTGTCCTAGGATACCTCTACCCCGGCTCGGCTCCAGACTTTCAGAGGACACGCGGCAGCCCACCGGGGACCGATATCGGACCCCCAGATCCCCACACACTGACATCCTGGCCCCCCAGCTCGCGGACTACAAGTCCCAGCAGCCCCCGCACCTGGCACCTCCCGCTTCGCAGCGGAGACCCCCGGCCGTCCCAGCGGCGAGGCTCCGGCTGCGCTCTTGGCCCGGCCGGGCGGGGAGGCCGGTCCCGCGGGCGGGGGCGGGGGCTGCTCCGCGGCTTCTCCCACCGCCGCCACCAAGGGGAGTTTCCAGGAAGTGGCCATATTGGATCCATTCAGCCGCAGCCGCCCGGGAGGAGCGCGTCCCGCAGCCGGCTGGTCCCCGTCGCAGCCCCTGGCGCTCGCCCGCCCGATGCGGAGCTCGCCATGGCGGCCACCGATCTGGAACGCGTCTCGGTGAGGGCCCCGCTGGGTCGCGGCGCGCGCGGGAGACGCGGGGCGCGGGAGGGGGCCGCCCTGCAGCCGGCCCGGGGGCGCGAGGCGGGCTGTCAGCGCCGCGCGGCCGGGCCTCGACGCCGGGCCGGCTCGGGGACACCGGAGCGGGCTGCCGGCCGCGCTAGCTGGGGGCCCCAAAGCGTCGGACGGGGCGCCTTGCAGGGCGGCTGGCTGGGCTCGCTCCCCTCGGGCGCAGATAAGGCAAACCCCTTTCGCGGGAAGGAGCAAAGACCCACTTGGCTCCGGGCAGGTGCGAGGAGACTGGGACTCCGGGGCAGCAGGGGAGGATCCCAGATACTCCCGACCCCATCGCCCAGGTTGTTTGTTTCAGCACAGTTGGGGAGATTCCTGCCGCGCAGGTGCTGTCGGATAGGTACAGCGGGTGAGGACGAAGCCCTAGGGATGTGAGGGAGTCCCCCAGACGACCTCGGCCACTTGCAGACTTAAGTCCTGAAGACCCTGGGCCTGCTTTTCCTTCCACCTCTTCTCCCCTCCGCCCCTCTCCCCGCGCCAGGATCCCGTGAGCGACTCCAGGCAGGTCAGGCCTCAGTGGTCGGGTCTGCGGCAGCCATTCCCCAGGAACTGGAGCGAATCCAGATTCAGCCCAGTGGGCGTTTTTTCGGGCCCCAGTCCAGGTCCGCCTTCTGGCGTGTTGACGTCCCTGGTGGTCCCTGCTGGGGTCTCCCTGGACCTGAGCCCGCCGCCAACTCACTGAAGGTTTTTATGATTCTTTCGGGGAGCAAGGCCTTTTGGGTTTGTGTCTGCACGTTCCCTGGTGTCTAAGGCTGGATCTGGGTGTGTCTGGGAGGCTAGGCTGTGACAGTGAAGGAAGCTGTGTCCTCTTGCCAGCATGTGAGGCCCTGGTCGGCTGGAAGGGGGAGGAGAGAAAGAAGGGGAGGACAGGAGGGAGGGCTCAGGGCTGTTGGGAGGAGGGGGGAATTCTGAATATGTGGATGATAACGAATTGGTTCTGGGGCTAAATAAGGGAACCAGGACCTATGTAATTAATGCTATAAATACTGTCATCTGAATTTATATATGTAAATTTTCCGTTTAATCTCAAAATACATTTGTTGGTCTACTTTGGAAATATGCATAATTAAAGCAGAAGCTCTTGGTTTCATAATTTCTAGACTAGGGGGGTTTATTCCCATTGAGGAGGGGGGTTGTGTGTCAGTTAAGTAAGTTTAAATACAGAAGGAGCAGATTCAGAAGGTGGGCCATTCAGAGATTCCCTTCACCCCTGTGCTGTGAATTGGAATTTAGGTAAGGAGGTGGGCAGGTTCGAATCCTGACAGACATACTGATTAGCCAGAGGCCAGGAGGCCTGTGAGTGCTTGAGCGTCTCTGCATGTGTGTCTGTGTACATTTTCTCTGTCCAGCTGACCAGAAAGTTATGTCTGGGTCTTGTCTGTGGCCAGAGGTTGCTCAAACAGTTGATCTTGCAGGTGGGAATGGTATGTAGAATAACCAGAATCAGACAGCCTGATAGAAATCAGAGATGGTATTTGGTGGCCATGTGGGCTTGGCAAATTATTTAACCCTTTGGTGTTCTCATCTATATAATGGGATAAAAATATTACCTCCTTCATAGGGTTCTTGAGGATTCAATGAGAGACTCTAGGTCAGGTACTTGGAGCTGTGTCTGGTATGTGGTAAGGACACAGTAAATAATCCATGTTACTTAGGGCTCATGTGTATATGAAGACTAGCCCTCTGTAAGAAGGCAGCAGAGAATGTGTTTGCCTCTTATTTAGCATTCCGTAGCGACTTCTGTGGGTTAGGGTTAAGGTGGTCCACAGAGAGTTAGCTGAAAGGCCTGTCTGCCCTGCCAGGCTGTGGGCTGGAAATGCGTCCCCTCATCTCCTTGTGTTTGCTTTTGCACCATTTCTGGGAGGAGTTTGGGTGTTATCCCCAGGTGGGCTCAAGCACAGAGAGAGCACTGACTCAGGTAAGGGTGTAGAGCCTGAGCTCAGGGGCCTTGGTTATTATACCAGGTTAAGCTGGAGGGATGGACAACTTCCACACCCTTCACTCTTTGGGCTATTAGCCTCTTGGGAGGATTTGGACAGGGTTGAATTTGGGTGGAGACCTTGGGTGGAGTTTGGCCTGAATTTAGCAGTCTAGACTTCATTCTCCCCTCCTGGCTCATCATCTTGGGAAAATCATTCCTTTCTTTATCTTGCTATAAAATGGGCATAGCCATACTGATTCTTAAGAGTTCATGGGGAATTAATTGTAGTCTGTGGCATATTTGGAAATATGCTAAGGTGTCTTGTCAGCCTCAGCATCAGCATTGTGTGTACATCACAGACCCAACAGCCTTGACATCCTGACTGGGTCCTGCTCAATCCTAGTTCAGCCTGATGTCTCCTGCATATGCATGTATGGGATAGCCCTCTGGGCAGTTTCTGTTGCCCTTTGCCCTCCTTGGGCAGCCAGACTCCTGCTCACTCTTGCTTTAGCTCTGGGGCTTACCTCTTCCTGTCCTGAGGGCCAGCTTCTGTGTTTTTCTTGCCAGAATCTCATGGGGCAGGTTTAGACTCCATGGTGAGGGATCCTCTAAGGCCTGGGGAAAGTAAGGCTGAGGGGAGGAAAGGGAAGAAACGTGCAGCATGGCAGCCTCAGACTGGCAGTTTTCCCAGCCAGTCATTCACCCCCGTCTCTGCTTTATCCCCAGCACCATCTGTCACTTCCGTTGTCACCCCTGAAATCTTGACACTTCTCCAAGAAGCAGGCTATCCAGGGAGTGTCTATTCCCTCCTGAAGCAAGGACTGGTGGGAAGGGATGTGGGAGGCAGCCCTCTCACCTAAGGGCCCTGTCACAGAGTGGTATAGTACCTCCCTGTCCTGTAAAAATGGCTAGTAACCTCCTTCCGGATCCATTCTGAAGGAGAAATGAGAGCTGAGCAAGAGATGACTGCCACCCTCAGTGCATGGTGGTATTAAGGGGTCACTGTGTGAACACCACCTGCAAGGCCGCAGCTCCACCCCTTTTCCCGGGAGATGGGTCTGCCTTGCCTTCCCTCCCTCATGGGCATTGTATCTTGCCATGGGTGCTCACCTTAGGAAGGTCTGCTTGGAATCATGATTGGAATGGGTCAGAGCTATGAGGCCGGAGGGAAGGCATTGGTGATCTAAGGGAGCACATGGTAAGGAGCTGACCTTAGGGGTAGGAACAGAGAAGGTAGCAAGAAGGAGGCTGATCACAGTGCCAAGGAGGAAGGAGAATGGATTGTGGCTGGGAACCCAGGGTCTGACTCTTATCAAAGGCTTTAGATGGCAGGGAGGGCACTGGGTACTTTGCGTCCATTATCTTGTTGATGCCAGCAGTTTGGTTTTGGTTGAGGATGCAGACTTTGGTTATTGGTTAGTAAAGGGTGAGTCCAAGGTCTAAACCTCAGCACCTCAGAACCCTGTGAGATGACAGAGGGGATGAGCCCTCTGAGGTTTGAGCCCTGCAATGGGCCAGTGGAGGTGTGTATTTGGGGCAGTCACCACCATGAATGTCTCTGTGGCTTGAGTCCAGCCACTAGAGGTAAGCAACTGCAGGATGATAGAGCAAAGGGCCTGAGGGCCAGCAGCCTGTATCCTTTGGAGCCTTCGGCCTCTGCGCTGCCAGCTTGGGTCTCGGGATCTCCAGGCAAATCCCCCAGAGCACAAGCCTTGCCAGACAACCACATGTGGTGGAGCTGCGTGGGCAGGAAGGAGACACATCTGCCTGGGAAAGGGACACCCCCCAAGGTCTGCATGCCCATGTGGTAGAGCTGTGGGCTTTTTGCTAGCTTCCTGTGGTGCCATCTACATCCTCAGAGTTCATGTGAGGCTGGGACTAGGCAGCAGGGGATGAGGCAAGGGGCACCTGGGCTCCAGCTGCAGTTGCCCTGTATGCTCTGGGGCAAATTAGGTATTCTCCTCAGAACACATAGCTTGTAGTTGGTTCTCGGCCACTTGGGGTGGAGGGAGTAAGGATCCATTTCAGATCACAAGTGGCTGGCATTTTTCTGTGGGTGTGGACCCAAGTCCACTTGCCAGACCTGGCTGTGAGATCTGGGTATGTTAGAAGGTTAGCAGGGCCCTGTAAGCCTCTCCCAGCCCATGTAGGTGCCTGTGGATTCCTCTGTCCATTCCTACTACCAGCATCCATCCAGGGGTGAGAGGGAAGCAGGGGTCAGCTTTGCTGCCCACATTCCCCCTTCCAAGGGTGGGGTCTCATTACCTATGGAACAAAGGCTGCCTTCTCCGTCCAGTGATGTCAAGACCACCCGTAGCTTTTTCTATTATAAGGCAGTGGTGGCTGCTGCTGAAGTCCCTGAGCCAAGTGAGGAAATAAGAACACCTAGGGTTCCAGTACCTTCTGCCCTGAGCGCCTCCCTCATCTCCTCTGTGGTGAGATGGACCACTTCCTTTCAGACAGTGCAACAAAGCTGCAGAATGTGTCTGTGTCCTTGACCTGAGGGTAAGGTTGACGAGTGTGGCCCAGCAACCAGTGACTGACTATGAGCTTCCTGGAAACGTCATTTTGACTAGAAAAGTGTGAAACAAACCATCTCAAGTTAATGTGCTGCAGCCTGGCTGTCTGCATGCAGAAAAAGAAGAAAGTGCCTCAACAGGGAGCAGGGAGAATGGAGTGTTGGGGTCAGGGGAGAGGTGGCCTTGGGCTCCTAGGGGTAGTTTCATTCCCAAAGGTTCCTTCTCTTCCCAGGGTGGGGTGGGGCAGGGCTGGCCTTATGAGGATGACTGGTGCCCTCACTGCCATCTCACCATTATTATCTTGTCTGCCATCTTGCTGGCACCATGCATGTTGATCCCTGATTGAGGCTTCTCCCGTTTTCTGTCGCAGCTGTAGGAGAGAGATGCTTTGCTTCCCAGGTGTCCTCTTGATTTGAGACAGGTATCTCCTGTTTTTCTTCCCTCCTGGAGTAGGGTAGCAGCATCCCTACCATATATGACACTTTGGT